GTGTTTGTCATAGAGGTTTGTCGTATGTCCCGCCGCTTTCTGTTCCTGCGATGTGGTAGGGGCCTAAAGAGGTATGTCGTGTGCCCCCTCCCTTCGTCCCTTTGAGTTGCAAGGGTTTTGTTGGACCTGGAAGATTTATCGTATGTCTCCTTTCTTCGTGCTTGTAGGGCGTGGGGAGCGTCTAGATGATTATCATATATGATTTGCTTCCGTGCTCGTATTATGAGGGGCTAGTGACTGCCCTAGAGGTTTGTTTTATGTCTCCCTGCTTCGTGTTCATGTCATTTGCTAGGGTCCTGGAGATTTGTCGTATGTCATTTTACCATATACGAAATTAGATACAATCCCTTCGTCCCTTCGTGTTGTAAGGGTTTCGTGAGGGTCCTAGAGGTTTGTCGTATGTGCCCTTCCTTCGTCCCTTCTTGTTGTAAGGGTTTTGTGAGGGCCCTGCAAATTTGCCGTATGTCCCTTTCTTCGTGCTTGTAGGATTTGGGCAGCGTCTAGATGATTGTCATTATCATTTGCTTCCGTGCTCGTACTATGAGGCGCTAGTAACTGCCCTAGACCTTCAGGGCCCTCACAAAACCCTTACAACACGAAGGGACGAAGGGAGACGACATACGACAAACCTCTATCATCTAGATGCTCCCCAAACCCTACAAGCAAGAAGAAAGGGGACATACGACAAACCTCCAGGGCCCTCACAGAACCCTTACAATAGGAAGGAATGAAGGGAGGCGACACACTACAAACCTTTAGGCCCCTACCAAATCACAGGATCACGAAGCGGGGGCGTCATCTGACAAACCTCCAGGCCAATCACTAGCCCCTCATAATACGAGCACGGAAGCACATGATATGTGATTATCATCTACACACTCCCCAGACCCTACAAGCACGAACAAAGGGGACATACGACAAACCTCCAGGACCCTCCCAAAACCCTTACAACACGAAGGGACGAAGGGAGGGGACACACGACAAACCTTTAGCCCCCTACCAAATCACAGGAACACGAAGCGGGGGGACATACGACAAACCTCTAGGGCAGGCACTAGCCCTCATAATACGAGCACGGAAACACATCATATATGATAATCATTTTGATGCTCCCCCAAAACCTATAAGAACGAGAAAGGGGAAGCACACAAACCTCCAAAGCCCTTACAAAACCCTTACAACACGAAGGGACGAAGGGAGGGGACATACGACAAACCTCTGGACCCTACCAAGTCACAGGAAACACGAAGCGAGGGTGCTTGCCTAAGTCTGGCTGTTGGCCGGCTGGATCTACATTTACTGCTACTACTACTACTACTACTACTCCTACTACTACTACTACTACTACTACTACTACTACTACTACTACTACTACTACTACTACTACTACTACTACTGCTGCTACTACTACTACTACTACTACTCCTACTACTCCTACTACTACTACTACTACCACTACTACTTTCAAGAAGTTTTGTAAATAGTAAACAAAGGGGCGTGCCAAATAGACCCTAAAGGTCCATGCCACATATATATATATATACATATATGGTCATATATATATATATATATATATATATTTGTATATATATATTTACCCTTTAAGGGATTGTGTAGGGCATCTCCTTCTCCCATTCCCTGCTCACCAACAGTAAGGACAAGGAGCGCTCAACCTTTGGTCGGATGGGCTGCGTCGGCTGAGCCGCCCTGGCACCCCGGCGCTCGCGCGTTTCGCGCGCTTCGCGCGCTCTCTGCATGACGACCAAGGCAGTCGCATGAACATGGTTTTCAGGTGCGAGAGTTTACGGGAGCCCCGAAGTAGAGAAGAATGAATAAGGGTTGGCAGATGTGGTTTGGGGGGAAGGGGGGGGTACAGTTGCGTGTGCTTTGGCATATTGGAGGGACTGTCATTTCACATCATCTGAGAAAAGCCTTGGCTTTCAAGCTCTGAACGGCGGGCACGGTTGTTTTCTCATGCCTATCATCGGAACCCCACTCCTACACAACCCCTAGACGAAACATGACGAACGAAACGCCTGCACCCCCACACTCCGTGCGCCTCTTCAAAAACCCCTAAACCCTAAAGCCTAAAGCCTAAACCCAAAACCCTAAAACCCATATAGAAGGAGTCCAGACACTCCTCGTTGGGTCTAGGGTAGACCATGCTAGACCCCCAGCAGTGTAAGACCAACCACTCCAAAAGCATGCCGAGACCACCGCCAGAGCGGTCCAGGATGGGACCTCCCCAACAGCGTGCCAAGAAAACTCCAAGAGCCAAAGGGAACGACCTTAAACTTGGGATGCTCCCCCTTATACGAACAGCTCCTTCATACGGATTATAGTACACACCCATTCTAACCCCTATTACGGATTCTAGTACCCCCGACTATGATCCCGATTAAGGAGTCTAGAACGCCCCCGATTTTAATCCCTATCCAGGATCTGTACCCTTGTACTTCACGACGAGCTTGCGCACGGGCCCGAGGCCAGCGTTACCGACACTGGGGAAAAGCGACTCCCTTCTCAAGATGGTGCATGAAGTGGTTTAGGGTTTAGGGTCTAGAGTTTAGGGGGATTTCGGACCCGGTGAGGACATTCGTCTTAAGATATCACTCCATAAAGAGCAGCGGTCGGTGGAGACGTCTCGGAGACGTCGGCCAGGCGTTAAACAAGCGGTTTTCGTAAGGCAGAGGCAAGGTGCCGCAATCCGGGGCTTTAGGGTTTAGGGGTTAAGGGGATACGGATATCTTAGCTGTGCTGTAGGTTAGACACTGCGCCACCCATTTTGCAGCCATCGGTTAGAAGACCTGCCGAACAACCCTAATTTCGAGAACTACCCATATTAGAATAAGCTCTATTTTTGGGATTGGCTACTTGATAAGGGAACCTTGAACCGCAAACGAGGGAAGAAGGTACCACTGGCCTACCAAGTGGTAGGGGCCCTACTAAGCTCTGTCTGTGCTTGCCTTGGAAGGGTTTAGGGCTTAGGGTTTAGAGATTAGGGTGTAGGGTTTAGGGTTTAAGGCGAGCTTTCAAGATCAACAAAACAAGGCACCTTCCTAAGGGGACGAGAGCAAAAGGGATGGGCCCAGGTGTAGGCGTGTATATCTTCAGCGCACCAGCTGCGAGCATTGTGATAGCTTGTTTTCATCACGCTTCCCCTCCTTCTTCTCCTGATCTTCTGCATAGTCACCCTAAACCCTAAACCCTAAACCCTAAATCCTAAACCCTAAGGCCCTAAACCCTAAGGCCCTAAACCCTAAGCCCTAAACCCAAGTAGTGATTCAGAGAGGCGAACTCTTGAAGTCCGACTCTGCGGGCAGAGCAAACTCTCTGACTTCGGCGAACTGCCGATGAACATTGAATAGGTGTCGATTTGAACAGTCCCCAACAGCTACTTATAAGGCTTAGGGTTCAGGGTTCAGGGCTCCATATTATAAACAATAAGGGAAACCAAAAAAGTCCCACATCGATACCTAGTTGACAAGTGTGTCACGCCCCCCTGGCTTTCTTAAGAAGGCCCGGAGATTGGAACATTGTACGTCAGTCCCCATGGCCTGCGTACTCAAGTGGGGGTTTACGAATTATCGGGGTCCCCCAATAAATAAACGCCCAAATAGTAGGATTCCCTGATAATGACGCCAGCAAGGTACCCCGAATTTCGGATACCCCCAAGTTGCAACAAACTTGCAGAGAGCGGGTATGGAAAAGCAGCTGAGACTGGAACTCATCGGGTTTCGGCTAGGATGGCCCTTAAAACCTTCTGAACAAAACACTCCTGAAACATGATTCTCTTAAACCCAAGAAGGAAAAGATCAAATGTGCCAAGGGCCTTCCTAGTTGGTCAACTGCCCTGCTCGCATGCAACAACTCCTGCAAGAGCCGATGTCTGGCTTGAGACTACACATCGATCCATTCTGGCTCCAAAGTACCAATTTGAGTTTAAGGGTTTAGGGTTTAGGGTTTAGGTTTAGGGTTTAGGGTTTAGGGTTTACGGCTTAGGGGTTGGAGTCTGGGAACATCAAGAAGCCTCCTGCAGCTGAGATTACTGCCTCTTGGCAACACTTCTGGACGGTGGATATGCGGGAACCCTGTTTAACAAACAGCGGTCACGGACTGACCAGCTTGGCTCGAAAGCTGCAAAACCACCTTCTGTCCCATCATTTTCTGTGGCATACGGGGGGAGACGATTCGTCCCCCCAGCCAGAACACTCAAACTGTCAGAGAGGACCACTTGGGGATTTCCCAAGATAGGGCCTGTATGCCCCCCCAAAACGGTACAACCCTCATCATAGCTCCCCCGAAAAGATCGAAAAGGGTACCCCGAATTTTGCGAAAGCCCCCTGTCGTGGTTCATGTCTGAGCAAATTTCAAACCCTGCGCCTGTTAGACCTTAAAAAAAGGAATGCGGCAGCCCTTGCTGCAGCGACTTTCTCACGGGCGCAAGTGTGAGGGCTGTTCTAATGCCAGCTCCAAGCCCTATTTAAATTGTAAACCCTAAACCCTAAACCCTAAACCCTGTACATAGGGTTTAAGGTGCTTACAGGTGCTGGGGTGCCCCTCATTATCAGTACCGTCCGGGGGGATCCTCTTGTAAAAAGGTACCTACAACTATACTCCCCTAGGGGTTTAGGGTTTAGGGTTTAGGGTTTAGGGTTACTTCCCTTAGAACCTTAATAAAATTTTTTTGATCATTATCCTCTTGGGTTTTATAGAAACAATCTTTTTTAAAGTCCCAAGGGGGATAGAGACAATGGGCAGCATGTTAGAACGAGCCCCCATGTGACGTTAAACACTTCTGGAGGTGTTGAAGTCTTGGAGTGTTAACTGCCACCATCCGCACGGTTGGTGCTGACTCCTGACCCTGAAACTTCAGCTTCAAAACTCTAGATCTCTCCTTACCACCCTTTTTTAGGGTTTAGGGTTTAGGGGCTAGGGGCTTGTCACTGAGATTTTTTGGTGTGAAGTTTCAAGACATGAACGCTGAGCTCCCACTGCGTTCACAAGCTCAGCACGCTCTTGCTGCACGTCCGGATCCGACACGTGTGCGCGGGACCCACACTTCTCGGGCCTGTTTGGTCGTCGGACGCTGAACTGACACATCGTTTGTAATCCTTAGGTGTCCAGCAACCAAGGGGCACCCCTTTTTGGGTTGGCTACTCTATAAGGGAACCCAGAAGCCCCCCCCCCCCCTCCCAAAAAAAGGGGCGAAGAGTACCCCTGGGCTACCAAGAACCCGAAACCCTAAACCCTAAACCCTAAACCCTAAACCCTCAACCCTAAACCCTGAACCCTAAACCCTAAACCCTAAACCAAGAATCCGACTCCGGGAGGATGTCCATCGGTCTGTACTCGTTGCGGTCCATTAGCCGCCGTCGCTCTTCGATCACCTGCTCCAGCCTCTGGGGGGGTTTAGGCTTTAGGGTTTTAGGGTTTTAGGGTTTTAGGGTTTAGGGTTTAGGGTTTTAGGGGGTACCGTATCTAGACCCAGGAGTAACCTAGGAATAGCAAGGGTGCCCTTTTTCGTTTTCAGGGGATAATAGGTGAACCCCAACCCTAAACAAAGTAAATCAGGGCCTACTCTGCGGCCTCTGCGGCCTAGATATTGGGTAATAAGGGATCCTGCCTACTTACTATTTGGGGGTCTAGATTAGGGGTCCCTTGTGATCGTGAACCCTCAAATGGGAGTTTTCAGGGCTTCGGCAGGATTACAAGGGGGTTTGAAGGCTCTAGGATTGCCCTTAAAACCTTCTGAAAAATATTCCTGGATGTGATCCTCTCAATCCCAATAAGGGAAAATAGACAATGTTCCAAAGGGCCTAACTGGGGCTAGGCATCTAAGGTTTTGAGGCTTCTCGAAAGGGTTTCGGAAGGCGTGCCTCTTGGGATGGAGCTCGATGAGCGATAGAAACCTTGGTAGCCCCGCAACCATGTTTAGGGTTTAGGGGTTAGGGTTTTAAGGTTTAGGGTTTAGGGTAACCATATTGTAATAAGGATACCCTTTTCTGGGTTGATTACTTTAAAAGTGAAACTTGAACCAACAAAAGGCAACAGGGTTCCACTGGGCTACCAAGAAACTGATGCAGCTTGGGTAACTGAGCCAGTCCTCTTACTTGTCCAAGAACCAAAGAGAATAAACAAGGTTAAACTTTGTTACGCCTACTGAATCCCTAAACCCTAAACCCTAAACCCTAGAGTCCTTTGGAATCCAGGCCATAGATGTGGCGGGGTGGCGACATCTTGCCCGACAAAAACTGCGTGAATGCCTTGGAGTCCCGATTCTCCTTGGCTGCACTTGGGAGGGTAGTAAAAAATCAAACCTTTAGCTGCCTTATTAAGAAACCCAATAAACCCAAAAAGGCTAAAGATCGAAAGTTACAGTAAAGTACCACAAAGTCTCGAAGTGGTGACGCGATGACATGCCGCAAAGCACTGGAGGACTGCTTTGCCGGAGGTGGTATTGGGCCAAAAAAGGCTGTTTTTCAGGAAGGGCACGAATGAGCGGACAGAAGCATGAAGCGGAACCTCAAACCCTAAACCCTAAACTCTAAACCCCAACACCTCTCGGAATCCCCCAGAGGGGGTAAAAGCCAAGGGAAGGTGAAACCTTGGGGTTGCGAATTTGGGCCCCTACACCCCTGAACCTCTGGAACTCCTAAACCTAAGTCCCAACTTCTGTGCTCATAAGTACCACTCGGCAAACCGCAATCACCCTGAACCCTAAACCCTAAACCCTAAACCCTAAACCCCGGACCCTAATCATCTAGCCAACAACCCACCAAGCCTGTCCGTTGAGGTCGTCGCCCTGGTCCGCGTCTGCCGCCTCGTGCAGCTATTCTAGGGTTTAGGGTTTAGGGTTTAGGGTTTAGGGTTTAGGTCTTAGGGCTTAGGGTTTAGGGCTTAGGGTTTAGGGTTTAGGTTTGCGAGTTGAGAAGGTTGGAAGGGGAAGGGTTGAAGGGCTTAGGGTTAGCCCCTAAACGCTAAATCCGATTTCAGAGCTTGGCATAGAGCGCGCTGGGTCAAGGGGTTTTTATGTGCCTTGGCAGCTTGGTATAGCTTAGGGCTTATGAGACACCAAACCCAGAAACCTAAAACCCTGACAACCTTAAACGCTAAATCTCTTTTGGGAGGTGGGGGATTCTGCAAATGGGGGGGTACCTCTCTGTTCTACAATAGGGAAGGTATTTTGGGCTAGGTAGGGGCGTCCCCTATTGGGCAGTGGAGGTAGATCCGGCTCAGGTCATTCCACTCAAGCCCTGCGGATGTTGGAGTCCCAGATTGCCCCTAAACCCTAAACCCTAAACCCTAAACCCTAAACCCTAAACCCCAAACCCGAAACCCGAAACCCGAAACCCGAAACCCTAAACCCTACACCCTACACCCTACACCCTACACCCTAAACCCTAAACCCTAAACCCTAAACCCTACACCCTACACCCTACACCCTACACCCTACACCCTACACCCTAAACCCTAAACCCTAAACCCTAAACCCTAAACCCTAAACCCTAAACCCTAAACCCTAAACCTGAAATCCCTCATGCTTACAGGGACTTTACAGGCTGCGATCGCTCACAAAGACTCGAAACAGACCGCGCCTCTCATCGCTGTTAGGCTGTGCTCGGCCTGGCCTGCTCGAAAGGGTTTAGGGTTTAGGGTTTAGGGTTTAGGGTTTAGGGTTTAGGGTTGAGTGTTTAGGGTTTAGGCCCTTCAAGGAGTGCCTCTTGTCTCCAGCAAAGAAAACCCGAGACCTCGAATCATGTGCTGATTGACGCGCCCAAGGTCAAGTTTGTAGGTCAAAAGCAACACAAAGCTCCAAACCGTAAACCGTAGACCCTAAACCCTAAACCCAGCGCCTCACAAACTCCGAAGGCCCTGGAGCCTTTCAATCCCCGAATGCAATCTGAACCAGGAAGCCCCGTTTAGGGTTTGGGGTTTAAGGTTTAGGGTTTAGGGTTCGGGGTTGAAGGGTTTAACCCTTCGCACCAAATGCAACGAGGAGCTCAGGGTTTTAGGATGTTGCGGGCTGCTCTAGGGGAATCTAGGCGGACTTAGGGGGTTTAGGGTTGCGGGCTTTGTTATAGGGTTTAGGGTTTATCCGGAGCTCTCTGCATTCTCGACAGCGCGCGCGCCCGCCTTGGATGCAGCAAGTGGCGCACAGCCCATGGCACCGGCGCACAGCCTAAACGCTAAACCCTACACCCTAAACTCTAAACCCTAAACCCTAAACCCAAAACCCTGAACCCTAAACCCTAATTTAATCTTTGAAGGTCTCTGAGAGCTGCCGAGGCACCTTGGGGGGCCCCAAAAACTCTAAATCCTAAGCCCTCAAATCCCTAAAACCCCGAGAAGCCCTAAACGCCCTCTCTCTCTCTCTCGACAGCGCTGAGCAAGTCAAAGGTCTGACTACTCGTCCGCAGCCCTTTCAGCTGGGGTTAGCGTAAAACCTCTATGTGACGCCATTCCCTACGACTTTGTGCAATGGGGTGCAGGTTTCGCCAAAGATCCGTATTGCCGAAGAGTGGTGAGTGTGCTTGCGCGATATCCGACGCGGTAAGGTGCTGGTAAAGGGGGTCATTAATGTGATACGGTTTAGGGACGGGATTTGGAGATTGTCTAGCTTGGTAACGTTGGTACGCTTGTGTCATGGTGATTTCTGGCCAATGTAATCTAGGGTGCCCTACTCTGCGTCTATGTAATCTGCGATAGGCATGGGCTGATTGGAAAACGGTCTGGTGTTCTATGGTGTCGGCATGTCGCAATATGTGTCCGAGATAAGAAATTCTAGCGGAGATGATACGCTGCGAGGGGGAAAGAATAGCTGGGGCGTGTTCATAAAGGAGGCCGGCAATGTATTCGTTGGAACATTGCTGGTCTGAAGGTGATAAGATTTTATGGTAGTACGACGATTTGAGGTTAAAAATCTGTCGTAATACTTGGTAGTGGAGCTTATTGAGCTTAGTGAGGTTAGCCTGGGAGTACATCTGTGACTCCGAGCCGTAAAGAAGAATGGCAAGCACTAGTTGGTTATGGACCAATAGTTTTCTATTAACAGAGATTGACGGGTGACGGAAGAAGTCCTTCAAGGACTTGGCCGCCTGCGATGCCTGGGCATATCGCTTGTTGGTATCCTTTGTGGCAGAAGCGTTAGTGGTTAGAACCGCACCGAGATAGTCGGCGTGATCAGTTGGCTCGATTTTTAAGGAAGGGTCCGGTTTAGGATAACGAGCCTCAACACAAAAATCGCAAGTACATGGGAGTTGGTAGTGTTTGATTAGATAAATCGGAAGTGTGGTGTTGATGGTCAGCAAATGGCATTTTTCAATATTTAAGGACATGCCTCTTCTGAAAGCGAGGGACTGTAAGGTATGTAGTAGTCGGTGAAGCGCCTGTTGAGTACGCGAGAGTAGGACAGTGTCATCTGCATATTCTATGTCGCAAAGGGGGGAGTCAGACTGAAGTACCGTAGGGAGAGGGCCAAAAGCACTTTTGTAAGTATCATACGTGTCCTGGAAAAGCACCGATAAGGTGATGATGAATAAATAAGGCGAAAGTGGGCAGCCTTGTCGTATACCTCTGGAAAATTGTTTGCGGGAGGATCGGGCGTTCGAATCTTTTACTGCAAATTGGCAACCTTGGTATATTGAGAGAATTGCTGCCGTAAATGCCGGGTGAACGCCGATTCTTAGCAAGGCATTTTCTATCGCGACATGGGTGACGGAATCGAAGGCCTGCGCCCAGTCAAGGAAAAGGGCGTAAAAAGTTTCTTGGTGACGTTCGTGAAGTTCTATGAGTCGTCTGATAATGAACAATGGGGTTGAAGTGGATCTGCCTGATCTAAAACCGAATTGAACTGTGGAGATGCGGTCGTCAATTGCCGCTTTTAAACGATAATGAATCATGGAAGCGTAGATTTTATAGACGGTGTTGATCAACGAGATGGGACGATAACTTTCAGGAAGAGTGGGATCTTTCTTTTTGCCCTTGAAAATCATTATTACGTCGGCGATCTTCCAGCTGTCAGGAGAAGCAGCTTCCTTGAAGGCTTTGTTGAAGTGCGCGAGTAATGCTATATGTACTGATCGTGGGGCAAATTTCCAGAGCTCAGCTGGGACACCGTCAGGCCCTGCGGCTTTGCGGTGTTTCAAGCGCGACAATGCGCGCTGAAGGTCTTGGTCATCGAAAGGAGAAAGGTCAAGAAGGGCCGGGGGAAATAGTAAGGTACTAGGAAGGGGAGGAGTAGGGATGTGGTTCCATACGTTAGTGGATAGATGATTCGCAAAAACCTGCGGTTTTTCTGTGGAGGTGGACATACGGCCATTGGGCTTACGTACGCCTTTTGTTTTGGGATTGTATGACTTGCGCAAGAAACGTAGAGTGGACCACTGTTTGGAGGGTGGACCGGTTGAATCTTGTAGTAGGTTGTCACAGGTGTGTTGTCGTTTTTCCTTTCTGGCTCGACGCTTAATAATTTTTCGCAGCCTTTTTAGTGTTTCATGCTCCGAAGGGGGGGTTGAGTGAACAATGTCTATGAGACGTTTGGTCTTGTTAGAGAGATAGGAACGCTTGTACTGCGTTGGTAGAGTTGGGGGGGGCGCGGCGGCAATTGCCGCACGTTGTAAGGCTCCTGCCTGCTCGGCTAAAGTGAGGTCCAGGAAAGCGGCAGGAGCCGGCGCTGTGGCGTTTTCCACTACTAGTGGTCGAACGGGCGGGGCGTGTCTGCCCCTTTGTGCATCAGTAGAAACTCCTCTTTTAGCAAGGGAGTCAGCACGGTCATTGCCTTGTTGACCGGAGTGGCCCTTTATTTTCAAAATTGATATGGGCATATGGGGGAGTAAGAGATCGAGAGTTTTATGAATGAGTGATAGTAGATACGTATGTTCTGTGGTGGTGGATAAACCATGTATGAGGTCAAGAGCGAATTGGGAATCTGTGAAAATGTTGAGTGACGAGATGGAGTGAGAAGTTCGGTGCCGAAGAACATAATCCAATGCTTCGAGAATTGCTTGTAGTTCACCTGAGTTGTTGGAACCGACGGGTGCTTGGGGAAGGTTGAGGCCTACTGGCCCATACGAGTCCAGATGGGCGCGTGCGTCCTGAAAAGTGAACGCCCAACCTGCCGGGTTTCCTACAGCTACGTGGTATTGGTCTGGGCAAGAGCCATCTGTATACACGTCCGTGGCTCCCGGGATCTGATCGTGTTGGAGCATGGACTGCGTTCCTAATATGGGGGCGAGCGCCCTCAAGAAACTCGCGCGAAACTCGCGCTTGTCCTCTGTCGTGG